AGTGAAGAAGAGCAGAATGTAAGTGTGGGGAGGTACGTGAGGCATTACGTAAAATGAAAGGGGGTAAAGCAGCTGGAACTGATGGGATCATGACAGAAATGTTAAAAGCAGGGGGGGATATAGTGTTGGAGTGGTTGGTACTTTTGTTTAATAAATGTATGAAAGAGGGGAAGGTACCTAGGGATTGGCAGAGAGCATGTATAGTCCCTTTATATAAAGGGAAAGGGGACAAAAGAGACTGTAAAAATTATAGAGGAATAAGCTTACTGAGTATACCAGGGAAAGTGTACGGTAGGGTTATAATTGAAAGAATTAGAGGTAAGACAGAATGTAGGATTGCGGATGAGCAAGGAGGTTTCAGAGTGGGTAGGGGATGTGTAGATCAGGTGTTTACATTGAAGCATATATGTGAACAGTATTTAGATAAAGATAGGGAAGTTTTTATTGCATTTATGGATTTAGAAAAGGCATATGATAGAGTGGATAGAGGAGCAATGTGGCAGATGTTGCAAGTATATGGAATAGGTGGTAAGTTATTAAATGCTGTAAAGAGTTTTTATGAGGATAGTGAGGCTCAGGTTAGGGTGTGTAGAAGAGAGGGAGACTACTTCCCGGTAAAAGTAGGTCTTAGACAGGGATGTGTAATGTCACCATGGTTGTTTAATATATTTATAGATGGGTTGTAAAGGAAGTAAATGCTAGGGTGTTTGGGAGAGGGGTGGGATTAAATTATAGGGAATCAAATTCAAAATGGGAATTGACACAGTTACTTTTTGCTGATGATACTGTGCTTATGGGAGATTCTAAAGAAAAATTGCAAAGGTTAGTGGATGAGTTTGGGAATGTGTGTAAAGGTAGAAAGTTGAAAGTGAACATAGAAAAGAGTAAGGTGATGAGGGTGTCAAATGATTTAGATAAAGAAAAATTGGATATCAAATTGGGGAGGAGGAGTATGGAAGAAGTGAATGTTTTCAGATACTTGGGAGTTGACGTGTCGGCGGATGGATTTATGAAGGATGAGGTTAATCATAGAATTGATGAGGGAAAAAAGGTGAGTGGTGCGTTGAGGTATATGTGGAGTCAAAAAACGTTATCTATGGAGGCAAAGAAGGGAATGTATGAAAGTATAGTAGTACCAACACTCTTATATGAGTGTGAAGCTTGGGTGGTAAATGCAGCAGCGAGGAGACGGTTGGAGGCAGTGGAGATGTCCTGTTTAAGGGCAATGTGTGGTGTAAATATTATGCAGAAAATTCGGAGTGTGGAAATTAGGAGAAGGTGTGGAGTTAATAAAAGTATTAGTCAGAGGGCAGAAGAGGGGTTGTTGAGGTGGTTTGGTCATTTAGAGAGAATGGATCAAAGTAGAATGACATGGAAAGCATATAAATCTATAGGGGAAGGAAGGCGGGGTAGGGGTCGTCCTCGAAAGGGTTGGAGAGAGGGGGTAAAGGAGGTTTTGTGGGTAAGGGGCTTGGACTTCCAGCAAGCGTGCGTGAGCGTGTTAGATAGGAGTGAATGGAGACGAATGGTACTTGGGACCTGACGATCTGTTGGAGTGTGAGCAGGGTAATATTTAGTGAAGGGATTCAGGGAAACCGGTTATTTTCATATAGTCGGACTTGAGTCCTGGAAATGGGAAGTACAATGCCTGCACTTTAAAGGAGGGGTTTGGGATATTGGCAGTTTGGAGGGATATGTTGTGTATCTTTATTGTGTATCTTCTAACTTTTGTATTCTGAGCACCCTGCAAAACATGAAAATGTGCATGTGGTAAAGTGTTGAATGATGATGAAAGTATTTCTTTTTGGGGTTTTTTCTTTTTTTTTTGGGTCACCCTGCCTGGGTGGGAGAGGGCCATTTGTTAAAAAAAAAAAAAAAAAAAAAAAAACAAAATTTGGGTAAAATTGGAGGTGATCGTTAAGTGGGGGTCCACGTTTTAAAAATTGAAAGGGATTAAAAAGTACGTGACTTGAATTCTGGGGAAGGATGAATTTTTTTTACACTCGTTTTACAGACTATGAACTGTAAAACCTACTTCACTCATTTTAAAAGGAAAAACACTGTCTGAATATGTATACTACCACCCCCCCCAGGAGCATGCAACCACTGGCAACATCCGGGTCCTACCTGTTGGGTAACAGGGCAGCATTTTTAAAGGAAACCTCCCCAACATATCCCCCCATACTGGGGATCAAATATGGACATTAATGTCGGTTCAGTGTGATTTTTTTTAAACTGTTTTTAATGGATTATGTATGTGAAATGTTTTTTTTACAATGCTTTTCTTGCAAAATGATGACGTTTTAGAAAACTGAAAGATCTGCCTATAAGGGCATAAAAAATAGTGTACGTATTTGGTTTTTAATTGACACAAAGTAATTATTTGCCTTGGTTTATGGGGATCATGGGTTAAATTTTTCCCATTCTTCATCGTTTTAAAGCTCTGGCATTTCCCTCATCACAGTCAAACCCCTCAGTTAAATGTTTGCACTCTTGCAGCAAAGTGCTCAAGTGTTAAAAAAAACTATTTTAACCCTATGACAAGAAGGGATATGAAAAAAGAGGTGATAAACAGGAGAACCATTTGACTGTCTTGATTTCTCCCACTGATTGATTTGACCCACGAAAAAATACAGAGACCCTAACCCACCTAATATGAGAAGCCAAGCTAACCATCGCAGCCAAAAAAGGAATGCACTCCGGGACTCGCATCTTTCTGCGGTTATTTGATGACTGCAAGGGCTTACGTCGTATTTTCAAAACCCACCTGGTAAATTTGTGTCTCGTGGATTCTGCGGGTCCTCCGTTGCTTGGCTAAGGCTTCTAGACCCCGGCACTTTTTTTAGCCTTAGAGGTCTTGTCTTTGAAAAAAATCCTAATAGAAGTTACAGGATAAATAGAATCCCGCGACAATACAATAACAGTTTTTTTGTAAAGATTTGTAAAGGGGCACTAAATTCAAACACGCCTGAGCGAGGTGAATCAGGAAGTCTCGGGTAAAAAAAGCATTGAGCAACTTGAAAGGAGAGTACAACTAAAAAACAAAAACGCGCCTTCCTGCGAACCTAACCCTGTTGGTCGCAAAAAATATTAAGCCACATGTGATCTTCATTTGCAGTTCTGTGTCCTGGTTGAAAAAATCTGGGGAAATTCTTTGTTAGTGTCAATGTCAGATGGGCTTCGAATATGTCAAGCTGTTTTCCCTCTATCAAGACGAGCCAGGGTTTTACTTTAAAAACAAATTATCTCGAGTTTAAGTCCGAATCACTTTGTTTGTAGCTGCCCGCTTGTATGTGGGGAATTTTCCGCTGTTTTTAGCAAATACGAGGTAACAAATATCTCCCAGGGGGGCCTGTGTATCATCACAAAAAAAATCGACGCTTAACGACGATAAGTTTTGTTGATGGTGGCAGATGTCTACATCGTTTCACTGTTTTTCCCTGAGAGAATAAATGGATATTGAAACTGTTCCTCTTTTTTTCACACCGTGGTGAAAGTTATTTTATATAAATATTTTTTTTTCAACATTTACACCCAGGGGGTAAAACCTCGATATTGTAATCTTTTTTGTCCCTTAAAACGGCCCCTATCATCTTATTAATAAAAAAAAAATTTAATTTGATTAACATAATGATTAAATTTTTAATAAAGCCTGCTGTGCAAAAATGTACTCAAAATTGATTGTGTTTGGAGTAGTAAGTATCCTACCCAAATAGGGAAGTGGTATGCTTCACAAACTACTGTGTTGTATTTGCCGACAAACATTTTTAACCAGAAGGCTGAAACCACATATCACTTTCTCATTATAGAAAATAACAGCCCGATGTTGTCACCGTAATCATAATTAATGTCAAAATCAACAAAATCCTCCTTTTTCAAGGTATATTAGTTTTAGGTTTAGGAAAAACAGAAATTCTTTTTCATATAGCTTTGCAAGAAACATTTTCCCCGTTCTGTTGTTGTTTTTTTATGTTATTTACAAACCCTGTTATTCCCATTTTTGTTAACAGTGAGATTTTGACAGAAATAATTGTGTCATACCGGGCAGGGGTTGGGAGTCGTCCATAGTCTAAAAGTATAACTAAGTCTGGCAGTGTCCCTCTTGGATAATCTCCCCCGGAAAGCAAATCACATTTGGGCACATTGAAAGTGTGTACACAAAGGGACAGGGAATAACAGCAGTGTTTCCCTCCAAAAAATTGGCTAGGTATAGTTTGAGATTTCGAGGAATTGTGAAATTCTGGTTGTGTAGATTTTGCAACAGTGACTATTCCTCCCAGAATAACACTAAGAGAAATGACTGAAGTTAGATTTTTAAATAAACATTACTTGGGGGGATAAACATGAGTTAAACAGGCCAGAACAGCTGTAAAACCTGCATCATTGTGAACTTGCGTGTACATGGGTGAAGCACAGAATTAGGAGGGATGTTCACCGAAAATTTAAAGTACTGCAGGCCCATTTTCCCTTTCCCGCACCCAATAAATTTTGTTCTTTGGGTCTTTGTACGTACATTCTGCCCCTTTTGCTCATCATCAAAGGTTTTTCCCCCAGGAACGTGAGATTTAAATAAATGTGTGAGAGAGTCAACTAAAGTAAACAAATCCTTAACCAACTTTGCTTGTTGTTTTTTTAGTTTAATATTTTTGTCTCATTTGGGCTGCTGGATTTAATGGAACCCCAAAAATTGTATCTTTTTTATTTATGCCGTATCATAATCCAGAAAAGGGGCCTTGGGAAAGTCTCCAGGGGGGGCTCAGCGAAGGGTTTACAATAACTTCGTTCATACTTATAAGAAGACATACAGCAGAGTCCATGAAGCTGGACACGAATGGTTGTAAGTCGTATGGAGAATAAATAGTAGTGTTGAACAATGCTAATTCCATTTTCTTCATAAACTGTAGACTTTATTCCTAAAATTCATATCAATTTTTATAACCCTGCTCTTGTTTGGGGTCAAGCCCACAAGAGGCAGACTTAAAAGACACTGACACCCAACATTAAGTTGAGATAATGAAGAAAAAGTCATAGTATCAGCAGCAAATTCAAGTGCTTGTTTATTCATGTTACTTATTTCATTAAGTCTATCATTGGCTTGATCACTTGTTAAGTTACCAAAGGAACTGTCATTTAGTGAAAGCCAATCAGCATTCAATTTAATGGATGCTAGTGAATTTAAAACCATCGCTAATGTTGTTTGATCACCAATTGATGCCAAGTTTTGAAGTACAGCTGAAGGATTATAAGCATCGTACTGAGCCTTTGTAATCATTGAGGCATTCACAGTCCCAAGAAACACATTTGTAAAACTTCCAAAATTGTCGGTAATACGGCACGAGACATCAAAAATACCCACTGGGAAGATCAAATTCAAATAACTAAAACCTGATGATCCCATAGTTGCTTGGGTATTACCAGAAGGGTAATAAAAGGTGTATGACTGGATACCAAGTTTTTCTTGGTCTTTCCAGTTGTTACAAGTTGCCATTGTTTGAATCCAATGAGTGCTCGCAGACTAAGGGTATTCAGTGTACATGTCCCACTTGCTGGAGGACCGTTCAAAACCACCACCATCTCTGCAAACCTGCAAATAATGTATGCATCATTAACTGGACTTGAGTCCTGGATGTGGAAATTACAATGCCTGCACTTTAAAGGAAGGGTTTGGGATATTTGCTCTTTACAGGGACATCTGAACTGTCATATCTGTGCACCTCTGGCAAGACAGTGATAGTGTGATTTATGGTGAAAGTGTTTTTATTTATTGATTTTTTTTTTTTTTTTTTTTTTTTGGGGGGGGGGGGGGGGGTCCCTGCTCCAGTGGGAGACAGTCAGCATGTTAAGAAAATAATATATGCATTATTAAAACTATAATACACTGTATACAAGAATTTCCTTTAATTTTAGCTGAATCAGCTACTTTTCAAACACTTTAGACACATTGATTAAATAAACTAGCAGCCACAGGGTATGTACACTGAGAGGTGTATATCTCTTGGTTTTTGTCTACCAGGTGGTGCAACTCCCTCAATGTTCTTCCCTTACACTAAGTTCAGTTTTTAGAAAAAGATAAAGATACTTTATTTTAGCATGATACAATGTTTGTACAAAGGTGAATTACATTCTGGTGTGCATGCAGAAAGCCCCTATGAAATAAAGTAATCTTGGTGAGCTAGTGTATATATTAACTGAGGTCTTAAAACTACAATTCATTAATACTTGCCCACTTGATTGAGTTTCTGTTGTTCCCGTAAGTCGGAATCGGAACTTATTTATGCTTGGATTGATTTCAAAGAATAGTGGATTGGCAGCAATGGTGAAAGTGGTCACTGGCGTCAGGAACACTGGGGGGATGAAAGCAAGAAAATATATGCATACATGACATGGAGTGAGTGATGATGAAAGCGTTTCTTCTTTTTCAGGTCACCCTACTAGGTTCTAAACAAGTTTGATGTTTTAAAAAATGAAAAAACCTTAATTGTAATATTTTTTAAAAAGAATAATTCACAGGTTAAGAGCTGTTATCCTACTCCAGTTCATATCCAAGTCCAGAAATACCAACCCTGAAGCCACCCTATGTACCTGTTAACTGTGAGATAGACAGGTATAACAGGCATGAAGAGACTAACACTGTCCATGGTACATGGCAGGTGAAGGGGGTGAGGAGGAAGGAAGTTTAGGGAGTACCTACTCAGCAACGTTAACAAGAAAAAATCAATACAACACACACAATGAATATAAAATCAACAAGCAATAAAGAATTCAAGCATCAATAAAATTCTCAACACAAACATATATTATTATACAAAGTTAAAATAAAGCAACATGACAGTTCATGAATACCAAGGCTCAACAGACTTAATACTAAACTTACCTGGGTTAGTAACTGGGTCACAAGTATTACAGGTGTCATTTACAGGGTTCCCAGACCTACAACATACAAGTATTATTACACATGCTGTAGAATTTATTTTAGTAGGTGAACATTCTCTTGAATTAATAATAAATATTTTAATAAGAAACAGAACTGTCTTAATCATCTTTCAATTAATGTTTTTGTCTGAGAACTCATTTTCTTTGACAAAAAAATCTTCATGTAAAATATTTTCTAATTTTTTTTTTTTAACACTTTGGACGTTTCCCCACCGAGGCAAGGTGACTCAAAAGAAAGAAAAACCTTTCAGCATTGTTCAACAACTGCACCATCATTCATACATAATCACTGTCTTTGCAGAGGTGCTTAGATACAACAGTCTAGATGTCCCTCCAAACAGCCAATATTCCAAACCCCCTCACTTAAAGTGCAGAAATTGTACTTCCCACCTCCAGGACTCAAGTCCGGCTAACCGGCTTCCCTGAATCCCTTCACAAAATATTACCCTGCTCACAATCCAATAGCTCATCAGGTCCCAAAAAACATTCGTCTCCATTCACTTCTATCTAACATGCTCATGCACGCTTGCTGAAGTCCAAGCCCCTCGCCCACAAAACCTCCTTTACCCCTCCCCTTCCACAACCTTTCCTAAGATGAGAACCACTAACCCATCTTCCTTCCACTATAGATTTATATGCTCTCCAAGTCATTCTTTGTTCCATCCTCTCTAAATGACCAACCCCTCTTCAGCCCCCTCTGAATAATACTTTTAGTAACTCCACACATCCTGCTAATTTCCATACTACAAATTCTCTGCATAATATTTACACCACACATTGCCTTTAGACACAAGATCTCCACTGCTTTGAGCCACCTCCTTGCTGCAGCATTTACAACCCATGCTTCACACCCATATAAGAGTGTTGGTACCATCTGCCAATCCATAATATATTACTGCTTGAACCATTAATTGTAATATTGTTTTTATTATGTGCAACTTCAAGATTATTATTCTAATAAACCTCCACCCTGACTATCTCGCATTAGTATTAAGATTAAATAAAGATTTAAATAAAAGTTAACCACTATCATCTTGTCTAGATTTAAGTAGTTATTGTATACTAGGATTAGTCTGCCTGAAATGCCCCAGCATGATAATGGCTTTCTTTATACTTAACAAACCAAAACTGTAATTACACACTGTAACTTTTACAAAGAAATAAAATCTTTACCTTTCATGTTTTTTATAAATGTCACTGCATGTACTCAGATATACTGTTCATGCTTCAGTGTATACATATATACTGAGTGTCTTCTTTAACGGAAAAGCTTTTGTTCTAATGGTGATATTTTGAAAAGAAATGATTAAAAATATACAAGCATGAGGCTCAAGAGAGACATGAAATATTACTGTCACAATATATGGTTATAATATATTTAAAGAGGGGTGGGGACATGCTACAGTTTTTGAACTCTAGTATTGGTGCCCCTCTTTCAAGACAGTGATGGAGCGAGTGATGGTGAAAAAGTTTCTTCTTTTTTGGGTCACCATGTCTTGGCGGTAGACAGCCAATGTGTTAAAAAATGTTTAAATGTTACTGGACATCCATCAAGTTGGCAGGCATTAAAAGTAAGGAGAGACTCACATGTCCATGTACATCCACTGAAGAGCCAGATTTTTGCCACACTGAGACACACAGGTGCCTATGAGAGCCATTCGGGAAGATGGATTTACGAGGATGCCGCCGTTGTAAGGGTAGCAAATTGATACGTCCACACACCTTCAGATGAGATAACAAAAAAATGGTTTATCATGACCTCATCCACTGCGAGGCCTGCTCATGGACTGGGTCACGGGGGTGTTAATCCCCGAAACCCCCTCCAGGTATACTCCAGGTATAGATTTCAAGGATATGAGCCATTAAGACTGGAGTTTATCTATGCACTAACATGTATGTACAGGTACATATACTGTGATGCACACCTCTCAGTGTATTATTTTACAGATACACATCTCTGTATATGTACAGTACACAGAAAGATACATACATACCTCTCAGTGTATTTACACAAAGATAACCATCTCTGTACAGTGAAACCTCAGTTTTTGTTTGCCCTGGTTTTCACTGAATTCGGTTTTCAATGACTTTTTTCTGTCAAAATTTTGTCCCAGTTTTCATTCATGACCTTGGTTTTTGTCGGTCCGAAATACTGAAAGTGTCCACCTGCCCGTGCCCACACAAAGCCTCCCATGTGTTCTGAGTCAGTCTAGCTTTGTTTCTCGAGTGAGCATTACCCTGCACGTTCATCCGAAACATTTCATAATAATCCATTTTTTTTTGTCCTTGTTTATTGAGTGTGACTGCTAAATAAGCCACCATAGGGCCAAAGAAAGTTCTGAATGCCAGCCCTTTCATAAAGGAGAGAAACATGATAGGATTCAAGAAAGAACTCGTAGCAAATTAAGGGGTTGGATGTGAGTGGCCAGCATGTAGAAGAGTTGGTGGATGACCACAAGGAAGAGCTAACCACTGAAGAGCTGCAACACCTTCAACTGGAACAGCAACAGATCGCAGCTGAGGAAATTGCTTCAGAGGAGGAAGAGAGAGGGGAGAATGTGCCTTCTTCAGTGATTAACCCCTTGACTGTCGCAACCCCAAATCCTGAGGTGTCTCCTAGTGTCGCAAAAATTTAAAAAAAAAAAAAAAATTGAATGAAATGATAGAGAATCTTTTCCCAATTGTAATGAGACCAAAAGAACGAAATTTGATGGAAAACTGATGGAATTACGCTCTCACGAAGTTAGCAACCTCGGCAATATTGACGAATCGGCGATTTTGCCCACTTTGAGCCCTATTTTCTGCTAATTCCATTGTTCCAGTCGACCAAACTTAGAGCTATTTCTTTAGAACTCCGTTTTTTCTATCGATTGAGTACATAAGATAAGATAAGATTTTGTTTGGATTTTTAACCCCGGAGGGTTAGCCACCCAGGATAACCCAAGAAAGTCAGATGCGTCATCGAGGACTGTCTAACCTTATGTCCCATGGGTCACTTAATCTTGTCCCACCATGCACCCACACAAGTCGACTACCACACAGAACCTATTGCTGCTAGGTGAACAGGACCAACAGGTGTAAGGAAACGATGTCCAATGTTTCCACCCCAGCCGGTGAATCGAACCGGGCCCTCCGTGTGTGAAGCAGGAAAACTTTAGCACCAGACCACCGGCCACATATAGGCCGCCGCAGCGCACAGGAACCTATCCTCTATTTTTACTTCTACCTGAGGTCCCAGATAGTAATTACCAAATCAAGACCCACAAACACTAACAGTGTGGATAACCAGCAATGATATAAATCAACTGCCAGAAATCACCCCAAAAGTTCAAAATTACCACTAAAAGGGCTCGATTACCCCTCCCACCCCCGCTGCCATGAAAATGTCTCCACAAAAATTCACCCACCCTACGTTTCACCCGAACCACAGCCAATGGACCAAAATCAGAGCAATATAAGAAGATCCGTAACCAGCTAAGGACTCCTAAATCAAAGGGGTTGAGAGCATTTAAAAACACGAGGAAAAACTTGTGGTCCCTGCCAGCCAGGACACAACCCTCATCACCCCCCGGGAAACCCCCCAAAAACACACGACGGGGACCCCAAAAAAACAGGGCCCGCCGTCACAGTCCAAGATAACCCCCTTTCCCCAGTTTTTGGGATCCCAAAAAGATCACCGACCCAGAAAAGCAAACCCCTTTAAACGTTTTAGAACCAAACGATACCAAAACTAACTAAAGGAAATGCGGGAAATAAAACAAGCAATGCAAAATTACCTCAACAAGATCACCTCCTTTTAGAACTTTAAACTAGACATCATCCCAAATTTAAAGGGGAAACCCCCAAAACAGTTTTCAAAAATTAAGAAAAACTCAGGGAACTTTATTCAAAAAAAAACAAAGGGCGGGTTTAAAACCCCAACTAAGAGCACGGGCCCTGTTTAACATCCCGTCAAAAGGTTCCTAAAAAAAGGTGCTTTGAACGTCAATCCCTTTTGCCCCACATAATAAATTATCAATCCCCCCACAATACAGTACCGGAGGGGAAAAAGGGGGAGGCCGGTTACTCCTATCTTCAAAAAAAAAATTTGGTCTGTTTAAAAGCAACTATAGGTCTGTTAGTTACCCCCAGTTTTAATATCAAAAAATTCTAGAGAGGGGGGTTGGTTTTTCTCAAGTAGTTAAGTCCCTTTAAATGACAACAACTTTCTCCATAGCTATCAATCGGGCTTTAGAAGATCCTACTAAAACCGACACCCCTTATTAATCGGGAGGGAAATTACCTGAAACAAAAAATGTCAAAGGGGGAAACCTTTATAGGGATGGGGAACCTTAGCCCCGCCCAAAAGGGCCCTTTGTATGTTTAAAACCCCAAAAATATTATGTAATAAACTTTTAAAACTATCGGGATAGGTTTTTGTAGACTGGGGTTTTAAATCCCCACCTTTGCAAAAAGGAGACAAATAGGTTTAAAAACAAAAAAAACGGAATCAGAAACCCCCGCCGATAAAATGTTGGGGTTCCCAAGGGAGGTTTTTTGGGTCCCCCTTTTTATTCTTTTGTTTTGCAATGTTTTGCCTATCAGTTTCAAGTGCAAACTCCCACTGTATGCAGATGACAGTGCTCTGTTTGTGCAGGTAAAGACCCCCCAAGATATTGCTAATTTTTTTTAACACTGGAAAATGGAGTCCCCCAACAAATGGTTTGTAGACCCCAAACCATCATTTCACCTAGGGAAAACGAAGTCATTTTTCTTTGGCACCCAAAAAATAAAATGGGGAAGGGGAAATAATTTTAAATTTCAAAGTAAGGGGAAGGGCCCCTCACTTTGGTTTTATCAGTTTTAAAAATTTGAAAACCCCCTTTTTCCCCTGCATTTTTCAGGAAAATTTTAGGGAAAAAGTGTAGTAAAAAAAGCGGGTTTTCCCCCGACGAAGTTCCCGAAAGACAAGCACAGGTCTACCACCCGAGGGTGCAGGACCCCATGTCTACCCTTTTAAAAAATGCCCCAAAGGATTACGGGTTGCTCTTCTGGTTTCCCCTGCCCTTTACAAAAAAAAAGAAAGATTTGACTGCAAATCACCCAGAACAAAAACGTTAAAAATTCATCCTGGGGCCCAAAAAGGGAACCCTGTAGGCCAGGATGAATTACAGCAGTTGGATATTTAATTTTTAAGACAATTAAAACAAAATGAAGCTAAACCCTGGTTTTTAAAAATTTCTCACAAACAAGGGCCAGAATATCTTTTCTGTCCCTTTTTTTTAAAGGGTTTGGGGAAACCCAAAGGGAAAATTTTTAAGGGGGGGAGAGAGCACAACTTGGGAGTTTCCCACAGTCCCGTTTGGGGTTCCAAAACCTTTTTTTGTTCAGCAATAAAGGAAAAGGGGGAAAAGACTGGCCCCCAAAAATTTTCAAAGCCCGGGCCCTAGCTTTAACCCGGGTTTAAAAAGAGTGCCAAAAGGGTTTTGATGAATGTTAAACTTTCCGGGAAAAAAGGGGAATGATTTTCTATTTTTTTGGGTAACAGACGGTAAATTTTACCTTTTTCCCAGTAATGACCCTCGTTTTTTTGTAGATAGTCCCCTTTGACCTTGGTGGAGTAGATAGTCCCTTTTTTGTAGGGTAATTAAATGTTATCTTCATTGTAAAAATAAGAAAAAAATTATAACCTTTATATTATAAAAAAAGGTTTAAAAAAGGGCCCCAATGGAAATAAGTCACTCTGTCCGACTTTTTTTGGGTTTTTTAGGGTTTTTACACATATGCGCTAATGTATTATTTAAATTTTAAAGTAAATGTATTTGTGTAACCGAATAAACTTACTTACTTTCTTACTTAACTCTGGAACCCAAAAAAAGCAACACCCCCACCCTTTCCCCAGACACTAATTTAACACTCTAAAAGACCCAAATCACCCAAATTCTACCCAAAAATTACAGAGGAAAAAATCCCAAAAGTGGGCCAAAAAACCCTTTCCAATGCCCCTAACCCAAATTCCCAAACCCTAATGAACCCCCCAGCGCTATTTATGCTGTTGTAGTTAACAGCAAAAAAACTCCCACCCCCAGTCAAAAGAGACCTTTATGGAGACCACCCTCGTTATCAAGGGCCCCCTTCGCCTTAACATACGTAGTGATTCCCAAAGGGTTTCAAACTGATGGGCTACCCAAACAGGTAAAAAAAAAGTGCTGTTAAAAATTTCCAAAAATAGCCTACAAAGAAAAAAACCTATTTAAAAAAAACTATTTCCCCATGGAAAAAATGAAAGTTTACGTCAATGAGTGCCTTTCCAAAATAAGAATAAACCCTTCCATTTTCCCGGGTAAGAAAATTACCCCTACCCAAAAAATCCACCGTGCTTTTTGAGGGGGTTTTTTGGAAAAAACGCAGTTTGGAAAAAGGGCCCCCTGGGGAAAGATACTTCATCTCTTTCAGAACATTACCTTAAAAAATTCCTAAGGAGCTGGAAATAACAGAATCAGAGAAAGTGCAGGAATACCCCCAGTCCCCCGTTAGTGTTTTTATTGTCATAAATTTGTGCCCCCCCAAAATTCTAATACCCAACTAGTTTTGATTGTCATTGTTGTATTCAACGACCATTCTACCTCATAGTCTTATTTGTTTAATATCTACAGAATCTTTTCCTTTTTTACAATTTACCGCATCACTTTTCCCATCTTATTTTATTATAAACTAGCCATAACTTGTCCTCAATAATTCTACCTCACTTTAAGAAATACTCAATTGCCCATTTTATTCTAAAATCCCTATTATTGCCCAATTTTGCTTTAAAAACTATTTGATCAAACTTATTGTAAACTTCTTTTATTGCCCCATTTTTTTTCTATATTTTTTTAAACTAGTATTTTCAACTACAACTCTTATACTATCCTGTCTACCATCTTACTAGCATATTATAACCAAGTCATTGCCATTTTTATTTTTATCATTTTTTTTTATTATTCTTCTTTTGCTACCTTAACTTGTGTATTTTACCCTGTCAATTTAAATCTAGTTATACTCAAATTTCTTGTAAACAACTTATATAAGACCTTAGTGCAATTAAAATTTTGAGAGTCTTGTGCCTTTATTATATTATTAGTTTAAAACTCAGTTGTACTATAGTCAATACCAAATTCATTATATTAGCCCATAGTGCAATTTACTAGTGAGAGACGGGTGCTATTTTTAATTTGTATTTTTGTTTATTAGATTAAATCTAGTTGTACTATAGCTCATTCTAGCTCAAAAATAGACTCACAAAAGTCATTATATTAGACCTTAGTGCAATTACAAGTGAGAGTCTTGTTCTATTTAAATTTGTATTTTTATATTACTAGTTTTTACCTAGTTGTACTTTAGTTCATTCCAGCACAACACATAGACAACTTTCAACTTCATTATGTGTAGTAGTGATATACTCTATATGACCAAAATACTCTAGCTATATACTTACCCAAAGCTTCCCACCACTACAGATATCAGTACTAGAACTCAACACATAACTCAGGATATAAATAACCATAATTTAAACCTAGAAGATGACTGATCACGTTGACCCTGATTAAACCTCCATAATCTGACACCCAATCAAAACCTTTTGGAAAGTAGCAGCCTTATTACACAGCATCCACAAGCCCCCACTTTTCCAAAACAATGCTAAAAGTTCTATCAGTACTTAACTACAACATCAGGTCCTTAAGCAAACACTATGATGACCTTCTGGCACTCCTTGAATCACTAAAGACCCCCTTCTCCGCTTATTCTTACTGGGGACCTGGCTTAAGCAGGACACAATAGATATCTCCCCTCTACCAGGATACACAGCAATTCACAACTGCAGCCCAAAACCCAAAGTTGGGGGTGGTTTGCAAT